CCTCCTCCCTCTCTAGCTATACATGCTTACTCGGTAGTCTGGACTCCACCATTGAAGAACTGAAACACTCAACACACAACCTCCTACCTAACCAACTATACATATTTACTCGGTAGTCTGGACTCCACCATTGAAGAACTGAAACACTCAACACACAGCCTCCTACCTAACCAACTATACATATTTACTCGGTAGTCTGGACTCCACCATTGAAGAACTGAAACACTCAACCTCCTACCTAACCAATTATACATATTTACTCGGTAGTCTGGACTCCACCATTGAAGAACTGAAACACTCAGCACACAGCCTCCTACCTAACCAACTATACATATTTACTCGGTAGTCTGGACTCCACCATTGAAGAACTGAAACACCCAACACACAGCCTCCTACCTAACCAACTATACATATTTACTCGGTAGTCTGGACTCCACCATTGAAGAACTGGAACATTCAACACACAGCCTCCTACCTAACTAACTATACATGCTTACTCGGTAGTCTGGGCTCCACCATTGAAGAACTGGAACACAAGTGAAACTTTACTGAGACATCGAATTGGCTGTCAACTATACCCATTTGTAAAATGATCTAATAATATAGTTTATTAATAAGTTTCACACTAAGTATCATAATTTAATTTAGATGTCAAATAGAGGTCCTGTTGTGAAAGAGAAATGCTTGATGCGCGCGCTTCAAATATTTTCAATATGTATTTATCTTCAATTTTTACTCTTATATTCAATAAATCACCGTATAATTTGTATCTCTACTAATAGATGACGAAGCACCATAAAGAATGTTCAATTAAAGATTAAAAGATCTTTCCAATTTCACAGACTGCAGCTTTTATTGATATACTAGACGGGTGACCCGGGATTGACCCGTGGGCATATCTACCCGAGTGATATATATTTAGATAAGATTTTTTTAAATAATTGTTTGTTATTAGCATTATCTATTTGTTTGCATCAGCATAATTTAATCTTATCTTTGATAGAGGGCGCTGTTCGTGAGCTAAGTAGAATAATTTGAATATATAGTTTTAATAATTGATTTATATATTTTTTTAAAATAGCCTATCGTCTTCCCCGTATTCTTTTACCTATGTATGGAAATTTTGGTTTGAATTAGTGAACTACTGCGAATTTGTATACCGGACATACAAACAAACAAACATACAAACATTGGTTTTTATATATATAGATATATATATCGTATATTTTAAACTGTATAATAATGACACTTTCTATTTGCTACCACCCCCATATTTTGTATATATGCTATATCTTTATTAATATAACCTGTACAACCTTTTTGTATATAAACTAAAAATGTTGACGTCAAAATAAAAATCCAAAGAGCGGTCAGCTGGGGACAGCTCGGGAGAGGGGAAGAAAATTCCAAAGCCCATGTGGGGTCCCGAGGGACATTGTTATAGACAACCCCCCTGTTAAGGGCAGGGTTTTCTCATGGGGTCAGCAACAGATGATTCTAGAGGGTGGCAATCGACAGTCCGCTTCAGCCTGGCTGTCTCTCTCACAGTCTCTCCCTCGATGTCTCAGTGATGAGCATCCAAATTTGTGTCATGACCTCTACTTCTGTCCCGTGGGCTGTCCCCGATCCCTCTTTGTGCTAACATCTAGCCCTGCCTCTGCTTCTTGTTGTCCGCGTGTGGGAAGAAAATCAACACTCGCCTCACGTACACGACTGCCAGCTTATCCATACATCGACATTTGCAAAAATATTACATATATATTCTCATAAAAAATTCACCAAGGAGTATGCAAATAAAATGAAAGTTTACCCCCACATATTTCCATTACACTATTATATTCTCTATAGGTTTTTCCAATATTGCATATTACATTTTAAAGTGTATATCTGCTATGAGAATTAGGTTATCGTAATATACGATAAGATTGATTCTGTTGATCAGAATTCTATTTCTTTTTCAATTATCCTCATTGTGTTAATTTTTCCTGATATCTATTTCAAAGATTTGTGGCACTCTAAGTGAAGTATTATATGCTTTTTTAAAGTTCCATGAATATCATGGAAACTGGAAACATGAAAAATTAAGGAAGTGAAAAGTCTTCGATTTCTCCGCGTTCGTCTTTTTTTTTTTTTTTTAAGGAGACAGAGGCAATTTCGTTTACATTTGGTTATCTCGTGTATTTTCAACATGGTTAACTGTGTATCAAATATATTTCAGAGTTATTGTCTGAATCCTAATATAGATGCAAAAGGTACAAACCTTAAGTTTTGTCCATGGGTGTAAAACAACAGGGCAAACTACCCGCGATATATCCTTTGCCAAATAAAGACATTGAAGATCTCAACCGGGTTAGTAAATTCCGCTACGAGTGACATTTCAACCCCAACATGTTGCCTTCTTTTCAGGCCATTTGGAATGATCTCAACGACCTTTACCATCCCAACTTCCATACTTTTGTGCAAACCTTTCCCTTCCATCACTCTTGCGTTTATTAATATCGGTTTTAAAAAGACTCAATATAGTTATCACAACAAATTCTTGAATCTAAGGAGTGTAATATAAATATAAAGTTTAAATAAGTAATTTGTGCCTCTTAAACTCTTATGCACAAGCACCACAGGACTTTTTCAAAACATTATTTTAAAATTCTTATAAATGCCTACTCCCACCAAAGCAACTTTTATAATCTATTAACAATTTAAAAAATACTTATGTTATGTAAGTAAGTTTGGTAAGTTTATGTCTATTTTCACCAGTAATTTCACTGGCCATTAATAAAACTATGTCATTAGAAAGTAATAAAGTAAAAAATATAAAAAAGAGATTAATAAAACGTTTTCGTAAAAAAACATCTAGGGTAGGTCTGACCGCCCTTATATTTTCCTGTAGGAAATCCCACTACCTGCCGTGATCGTCTAGTGGTTAGGACATTGCGTTGTGGCCGCAATAACCCAGGTTCGACTCCTGGTCACGGCACCTTTTAGTTTTTGTGATTTATGAATATTTTCTTTTTTTTTGCCATTTTGAATACCTTAATACTATTTTTGGAAGCAATACAAGTGCATTTATAAGTTCATATAATTTTTTACTACAGTAGAACCTCCCTACAAAGGACACCTTGTTGCAGAGCCAAAGTGTCCTTTAAAGAGAGGTGTTCTCTTACTGGAAAGTTGAAAAAAAGATAAAAATGGTAATTTTTCAAATGTAAACTGTCCTTTATAGAGAGATGTCCTCTCATAGAGGTTCTACTGTATCTTATTGAATTGTTTTAACTCTATCTAGGTTAAACTAAACAGCATAAATGAAGAATAAACTGAATGGACAACAGTAGTCTTCTGTGGAACGTTCATTTGCAGGTTTTAGAAATATCATTTTTCAATCTTTTAACCCTAATCTTGCATTATCCATACATCATTTCGACGTTCTGTGTATAAATTAGAGAGGTTAGTTTATGTAAATTTTCACCAGTAATTTCACTGGCCATTAAATAAAATATGTCATTAGAAAGATAAAAAGTAGAAATATAAAAAGTGAGAAATAAAACGTGTCGGTAAAACAAACATCTAGGGTAATTCTGAATGCCCTTATATTTTCCTGTAGGTAACTCCCACTACCTGCCGTGATCGTCTAGTGGTTAGGACATTGCGTTGTGGCCGCAATAACCCAGGTTCGAATCCTGGTCACGGCACCTTTTTTTGTATTTTATAAATATTTTATATTCACATTATTTTTTTTTCACCAAATTGTATACTTTCTACCATTTTTCGGAGACTAGAGTCAGATGGATTTGTAAAAATCTTTCAAATTACTATCGAAGAGTTAATATTGATTGATGCCGATATTTTTATTTGGCGATTTCTGATTTTTTTCGGGTATTGTAAAATTGGTTTTGAAATAATTTAACTCAAAGAAATATTTTGATAGAATGTTTTTCATATATATCTATTTATCAGTTTATTATATATATGATATTTTGGCTCGAGGATAGACCAAATTTTGGGGAATTTATTCAAGAGAGGACCTTTGTACTATATATACTGTGGGATAATGATCATATTTTGATTATATTAATATATATAGAATAAAGATAATTGCTTTTAAATCGGAGGAATAATAACAGGATATCAATGCTAAGAAGAGCCCAACGATGAGAGCAACGAATTTATTTATTGAAGAGATACTAGCTTGACGATATTTCGAACAATAATGTCCTTTAACAGGCTGTAATACGAATACATGAAAACAGAGAAATAAATTATATATATTCATATACATGTAGAATATTTACTTGGTTATTTGAATATGTAAAAACTAGAACTTTGGGCAAAGATTTTTTTTTCATAATTATCTACTTTCTTATATGATTAGCCACCCAGCTGCTAGCCCGGTGGCTTCCCCACGTCAGCATCCCCATCTCCCTCAGCTGGCCTTCTCGGGGCACAATGCCGACGTTGCCGTGCGGCTGGCCCTTCACGCCCTTCCCCATCCAGCGCATCCGGCCTCAGCCCGAAAGTCCTGCATCGCCTGTGGGTCCGAAGACCTATCACTGGCCCACCGCTACTGGTCCTGTAGGCGGATCAGGCCTGTCATCCTGGAGGCCTTCACCATCATCCAGCGGCCCCCTGACCTGCAGGGATGGATCTTCGGGCTTGACCTGGAGGACGACGCCCTGGCCATCCTGGCGTCTGCCAAGACCCGTATCTACAGGCACTTCCTGGGCCTGGAGATAAGGGGCGTCCAAGAAGACCCTCTCATCGTCTGGAGGAGGACTCTGGCAAGTTGGTGGAGCCTTCCTCAATCATATATGATTAATTGTTTTAATTCCCCTCACAAAAAGAGAGAGATACATAGTATTATGGAAGAATGAACGGCCAAGCAGTAACTCCTTATTTTGCAAGTAAAGAATGAAAAAATAGAGAAATAAAACGTGTCCATAAAACAAACATCTAGGGCAGTTCTGACCTCTTTCATATTTTGATGTAGTCAACTCTCTCTACCCGCCGTGATCGTCAGTGGTTAGGACATTGCGTTGTGCCCGCAATAAACCAGGTTTGAATCCTGGTCACGGCACCTTTTTTGTGCTTTATAAATAGTGTCAATTTACTTTTTTTTGGGAATTTGTATACTTCTAATTTTTAAAAACGAGAAAAGTGCATTTGAAAAACACTTTCGAATTGCTATCAAATGGTTGATATTGCTTGAATGCTCATATTTTTATTCAATGATTCCCAAATTATTTTTCTCGGTTATTGTAAACATTGGTTTTGAAATAATTCAACTGAATTATTCCAATAGATTATGTTTCATATATGTAATATTTGTGAAAGTATTGAAAGTATTATTGTATTACACTATAGAATCCTATCGATTCACTGTAACGTTGAAGTTATCACTGTAACGTTTGGACGATTACCTATGAGATGGGTTGAGTTGATTGTTAATTGTGGTGGGCGCAGTCGTTTTGCTGCGTGGCAAGGTGTTGACACAGGGGAAAAATAACGAAGGACACAGGATTTGGATTGAAAAAGGCAAGCGATCAAGGGAGAAAGGGTTGAAGCTAGTTTGCGGATTTGACTAATCTATGGTTGTTCACATTATTGAGGATTGGACTTATCTGATGGTTGAGAAGATGGGGTTGGCTCCAAACTGGTCTCAACGGCGCCACGTTCCAGACTAACTAATCTCAGTTCCCGATTTAACACGAAAACTTCTCAGGGCTCTGATTGGCTGGTGGTCGAGTCGTGTAAGCTTTCTATTGGTTCCTAGCTAATCCTCCTGGACTCTGTTTGGATCTCTGCTAATTCTTTGTTCTTAGCTTGTTCTGACCTGATCCCGGAAATACTAGGTTCTTGAACCCAGTTTTATGAGTTCCTGGATAATAAAACCTGTAAATGACTGCTTACTCTTTGATGGCCTTTCTCTCTAAACCTTTCTCCCAGATTTCTAAGCCTTGTTTTTATTGAAATCTTTTAAAACATACATTGCATACATATTGTGGTGGGATTACATCCAGTTATGTACAAATTATGACATATATATTTTCATCATTTATACACATGACGCCGCAGTAATTAGGAGTTGTAACATTGGCTCGAGGATACCCAAAATTATAGAGAAATCATTGAGAGGAGAAGATTCCTTTGGACTACAGCATCTGTGAGTGAATAAGGGTTTTGTGTATATCAGTATGAAAATATGATTTTTAAAAAATATAATTACATTACAATAAGAGGAGTAGCAAAATATTATTGCTGAGAAAAGACCAAAGGTAGAAGTGTCTAATTTATTGAAGAAATATAAGCTTGGCGAGAGCTTTCAGAATATAACGTCCTTCAACAGGCTGTAATACAAATACAATAAACTAGAGGAGAAATAATTGAAATACATACATGTAGTAATTTGTATAAATATAATAATTTAACAATATTTGCTCGTTGTTTGAATAAGAAAAACTATATCTTTGAGCAATAGAATCTTTATTTATTTTGTGTTAATCACTTATTTAATTATTAAATTGTTTAAACTCTCTCTCAGAAGAATATTACATATCATAAAATAAGAATAAAAACGGTGTAACCATATAAACCAAATGAATGGCAGTAGTCTTTTGTGGAACGATGGAGATATCTTTGTCATCTTACACACTAATCTTGAATACTCCACATATGGATTGAAATTTAAATTTATTTATTTTATATTTTTTTCATATACTTTTCACTTAATGAACTAGCTTTGACCTCATTTACGACAAAATTATTTAAACAAGCCTTCACAATGCTGATGAGAAACAATACATTGAAATCAGTATAGAATAGTTTTTTGAAATTGAAGTATTATATATTTTATATAAAGTCCAAATATTATCTTATATATAAAGTCCAGAGAACTTACTCTAAAAAATACAACAAAGAATAATTAGGTGTGGTCTTAGTTGATCAAAATAAGTGGTAGTGTCTCCAGTGTGGAACGTGCTATCGAGGGATTTTGCAATGGACATCAAGTAAATACAAAGGTATGCCTTTTGGAGTACCGATGGTTTGGTGAGAACCAACAAATAATTACGATCGCAAATTCTGTATCTGAAAAATCAGAAGCCCTGATAGCAAAAGAAAAACCTAACTTTCTTCCTGATATACCATCAGCTAGGCAACCTATTCTTCCTTACCTCCAGAATACCATCTCGGTTCCTAAAACGGTTCAAGAATTCTATATTGAAAGAAGGAGTTGGTTGGAAGGGGGTCGGTGGAAGGATGGTCTAAACCGTTGGTTTTCTACCGCTACGACCCGAGTTCGACTCCCGCATTGGGCACTTTTCTCTGATTAAAAAAAAAAAAAATGCTCCAATGGACCCCGATTCTTGCAAAAAATACAACACTACCAGCGAGTGCAATTAACCAAACGTGGCTCTGTCACATTTTAAACTGCAAAGTTTAACTGCTTTTCACATGTGTAGACATGTAGTGCACTTACAGTAAAAGCAGTCGCCTACTTCTACCCACCATGATTATCATGGCCTGTACCACGTGTACTAGTGATAAGAAAAATATAAATATATATTGAAAAGGGTGATGAGCATACAGAATTTTCAGATGAACGCCAAAAAGAAGATTCTAAATCTATTTTATATAAGAGTGGCATTCCACATTTATGTAATCGGGAATCATCAAATAAACTAGTTAGGGCTATCAAAAGAAGCATAAATTCTTAGCTCTTAGTTGAGAGCAAAAAACCTCTTGTTACCTCAAACGAATATCTCTGTCTATCTTAATAAGGAACAATGTTTTTCACCATTTTTAAAATGAAGAACAAGGATTATTGTAATATTATTATAATGAGATCTTTTTAAAACTGCAAATTAATTACAACCCACCGTTTATAGACTATTTATTGATTCCTCTAAAAAAGGTTTGAAGGTCTGTTTGCTACATTATGGTAGTGTATTTACATTGTACAAAAATGTAATGCCTCGATAAAGGTTGGCGTTTAGCCAGCCGAAATATTGGCAAAATGAATCTTTTATTAAATCCAATATATGTCATTTTATTATCTAATATATATATATATGAAAAAACAATAGAAAAAATAATAGATAAGTGGGTCAGGTGTTGATATTAAAAATAAAGAAGGCATCTCCTGACCACGAGCACATGTGCTTTTTAGATGAGGTTTGGAAATAAAGTTGAGTTTTTGTAAGATCAGTATTTTGAAACTAGTTAGGATTTTGGCAATCCCGCTACATTTTAGGAGAAGACTTGTTCGTCAACTATACCTCTAGATTGAGAGCGAATTAAAGTAAACCAGCGAAAAGAAGTTATCGAACACCTCTGCATATGTGTATAGTATTGCTTCTTCATTTTAATATCGTAATAGGTTCATCACTTCTTATACAATAGATAAATATCGTGGATAAAATCCTCATTTCTATAACTTGAGAAATTAAGATAACCGAAAAAATATTGATATCATGTTATTCAGAACAAACGGTTAACCTAGATAATGTTTTGTTTATTTGAAGGTGAATATATTTTTAAAATCTTGTGTGATTTTGTTACCTCTCTCTTCGTGTAATGAATATTTAATTATGAATTAGTAGTTTAGCTGATTATTTAAACTTTGGATCTATACAAACAATACATGATCTCATAAAAATACAAGAGCGTTTTTTGAATTTAATCCTTTATATTTCAAAATGAAAAAAAAACTTCATAATAAAATTTAATGAAAGTACGATATAAACTCTTAAAAGTGTGTGTGTTCAAGTTAGTTTTCATTTTTAAATATTTATTAAAAATATATCTCCATTTCAAATTTGAAATATTGTTTGAAGAAATGAAAAGATTTTTCAAATATCATACCTTAGGATTTCGATTCTTGAGATCCAGCATGATTTCGATCATGGCCATTAGAGAAATCTCTTCTTCAAGGACCAATTTATGATGGCTGTTAATATAGAGTATTGAGACACCACGATTTTTACATTTTCTAGGTGATTCCAAACTTGCAACCAAATATTCGAACATCAATTTTGAGAGAGAGAGAGAAAGAGAGAGAGAATCAAACATTCATAGAACATTATCTATATTATAGGTTAATTTGATGAATTCTAGAAGATATTAATTTCGCATATTTTACTAATAGTAAATATTTTTCAAAGAAATTGATAACAAGGATCAAAAATTAATATGATTTTCATCTTGAAGTTGCCTAGTTTCCAGGCATTCTGATATTGGAAAAACAGCAGTTTGAAATTCAAAAGATATATATATATATATAAATTTATCATTTAATATTGCAGGTAGAAACGCTAATTAAGTTAGTTTTTGCTGCAGTTTGGCTTGATAAAAATGCTTTTTATTCCTTATTTTTGTTACTCCAAATTAAAATAAAGCAACAATCGTAGGGTGCTTAAAATATTCGCTCTACATTTAGATAACAACTATCTACCCAATGTATTCCGTGGAAAAAATACAATGCAATTTGGAAGGAATTTTATTGAAATTAAAAACTAAATTATTGTAATTCAATATGATATAGGTTTCACAGCGTTCATCCTCAAACCCTGCTCGAAGAACTGTAAATACTATCCTCATTGCTAATTAAACCAAAAACCATCACGAAGGCATGGAATCACTCGTGCATCTAGGGTACCGCTGAGGAGTATAAACAGAACCATCGATTATTACTAGGTTTAAATGTACTTGTCAAACTTTCTTTCATCAAGAAAAAACCTTAACACAATGAGGATATTTGCAAAATAAATAGAATTTTGATCAACAGAATCAATCTTACCGTATATTCCGATAACCTAATTCTCATAACAGATATACACTTGAAAATGTAATATGCAATATTGAAAAAAACTAAAGAGAATATAATAGTGTAATGGAAATATGTGGATTTAATCTTTATTTTTTTTCTTTGCATATTTCTTGACGAATCTATTTATGAGACTTTATAAATGTCTTAATAAAAGTGTGAAATGGGAGAGATCTTTTAATTTCAAATTGAACATTCTTTATGGTGTTTTGTCAATTATTAGTAAAGGTACAAACTATATGGTGATTTATTAT